CGCCGCGGGGCGCCACAGGCCCCTCCCGCGGGGGCCCCGCCGTGCTCAGCAAGCAGCTCTGCAGCACGCACTGACCGCGACGCCCAACACCAGCGGGAGCGGAGCAGAACCCTGCCAGCCACGGGCAGCAGCTCAGCCTGAAGCGCTTTGATTAATTGGTCATGAATATTCAGTGAACTACCGGGTCTCTGTGGAAAGGAAGGCTAAACTCGCAGCGGATGCCCGTGGCAACAGATGATGCAACCAGCTGCTGCTAAAGCACCTTTCGCGTCCGTGCTGCGTCACCGCTGGAAGCGGCAGCGCCGCAGGTAGCGTGGAGGCGTCTGCAGCCTCTCAGCAGCTAATGAGGCTCCGCGCAGAGCCCTCCGGAGCATCTGCTCCCTCTCCCATCTGGAATTCCCCATTTCTGCTGCAGGACTGGCTGAAAGGCTTCACCCCTCCTGCTGCCAGCAGAAATAGCTACAACAAGCAATCTCCATGCTTATACGTTAAGTGAGAGGTTTCACTGCAGTGCCTGACGGCTGCTTTAATTTGTGGATGTAAAATGACCACACCATCTTTCTCTTGCTCTCTCTCCATTTTTTTTTTCCAGGTAGCCATTTTGTAGCAACTAGTGGAAATTTCTCCATATGTTCTTCCCTGTTACAGGAAGCTCCAGTACTATAAGATATGATATTATTCATTTAGTTGTGGAAGTAATCTTGGCATGAAAAATTTCACACAAAAAAAGCCCCCTTCTATTGTGAACGTAACGGAAGTCTGTGCCAGCTGCGATAATAATTCTTACATCCAGTAATATTTCTGAGCAATCTGTGCTGGAGCAGTAACACCAGCTATGGATCCTCCAGAACATACTAGAATAAAGGACAACCTAAACTCATTAGTACAGTCACAAATTTTGCTAAGGGATCTTCGGTTCCTGGTTCCTTAATTTAAGGGGACACTGCTGGATCCCAGTGCGCACGTTCCTCTCGGACAGGGATGGCAGCTGCAGGTCTGTGGAAAATCAAAATCTCTCAAGTGGAAAGCTACACACTGCAGATCAGTGGCCAGACTAGAAACGATGGATTTAACTTAGTTATTGGCCAGCATGGCACCTAAACTAGTTCAAGAACAAATATTAGTAACTGTATAAATTGTTTTCCTATCTGTATCTGGTATCTGTCACTTCCTGTATGTATTTGAAGGAGCATCTAAAGAAGGAGCAGAGACAGTAACGTGCTCAGAATCTACTTTGAGAAGAGTCACTTTAAATGAACACTTGAATGCTTTGCCACCAGATTTAAGTTTGGGGATCCAGCAAATGCCAGAAACATTTTCAATAAGGAGAGAACAGCATAAATACATTGGGAACAAAACAGAGACCAGGACGTTTGTATTAATAGTGGGATTATTTTTCTTTCACTGTCTTGGCCCATCAGTCGAACGCCCGCGGTCTCCCCTCTCCGGAAGCACCGGGCTGTGCCTGCTGCTGCGGCTCGTGCTGCGGCGCTGGCAGCAGCGCGGGCGGCTGCGCGCTCCAGGCAGCTCCAGGCCTCTAACGGCCACAGGAAAGCAGCCACCCGGGAGCGAGCCCAGAGCGGGGCGCCCGGCGCTCCCCGCTGCGCACCTCGCTGGTCGCCACCAGTCATTAACTCGCAGGTGAAATCGCTGCTGGATGAAACCAGCTCCATCGGAATTCCTTCCAGTTGCGGGTGGGCACACACCAAGCCGTGCTCGACCCTGGGGGCCAGGGGGAAGTGTCCAGTTTAGCTCCAGGTTCCAACCACCCACAGCCTCTTGCTGCCACCCTGGGGCAGCTCTG